ACCAACCCCACATACTGTATGGGGTCCACACTGCCTCTACCCCCCACCCCCCACCCCACCCCCAACTGCATATGGTGCATGAAGTTGGACTGGTGCACACCGCATAAAGTGTGTGGGGCTGGACCTGGTGCTGCAGGAACTGCATGTAGCACAGAGGGATGGTCCAGGGCACACACTGTATACAGCACCTACACAAGACTGGCCCTGCATGCTGGCTCTGGGCCTGGTCTGGATCAGGGCTGCAGACTGTTGGAAACAGCATTCAGGGCCAGCCCAACATGAATACTACATGCAGACTGTGTCCCATATCAACCTCATGAGCTGTGTGCAACACAAATCCTGGACAGGGTCCGGTGCATGCTGCATGTGATGCATGATGCACAAGTCCCACAAGTGCTGCATGCAGAAAGGGGGGCTAATCCAATGCATATGCTACATGTGGTACCCCACTGGACCAATGCTGCCCACTGTTTCTGGGGCTAGTCTAGACTGGAGCCAATGCACATGACCAGTCTAGTGTGGACACCTCATGCAGCACACACATCTTTTTTAAAGCAGAGATTCCAAAAATCCTCCTAGCTAATCTCTCCATATACAGTTCAGGTACAATTCTCAATCTGCACCTGTTGGCCAGTAGAAAGAAAACTATTTGGAAAAAAATGTAAAAGGAGAGAACATTGCCACCATGAACATTTTGAAATAAAAAATCCAGTAAGGAGACCAGAGAACAGACATTCAGTAAAACAAACTGCTCAGGTTTAATGTATATGATATGCACATTACTGACCATCTGGAGAGCACTTGTTTTGCATGATCATGTATTAACACTTGCTAACCACTACAGCCAGCAGTCTTCAAATAAGCTGCAAATACTCAACTACTGAGGTAGCTTTCCCAGGCCTTTATAATTCCAGGGCCTAACAATGGCACACATCCAAATGCAGGTAACAGTTCAAATCAATCACTGATCTTTACCAAGAAATCTAAAGCCTTTTAAGTTCAACTGCTGTAGAAACCAGGCCTAGGGCCCAATTTGAAGACAAGGCATTAACATCAACTATGTCCATTTAGGTCTGATACACCAGCCAGCAGCTGACAATAACTCTGCTACTAGGAACTATAGCCCAGATGCTGCCAGCCTTGAGATTGGTAGACATAACTCAAACTGTACCAACAGCTCTTAATATAAGACCATATGTCCAAGTTGCATGCCTTCTAAATCTGTCATATTTTGTTTTTCTATTTTGGCAGCCTACCCTCACTCAGCTGAGCAAAAGATCTCACTCCACAGTTACAGTCTTTGTGTCTGACCGACTGATACTTGCCTGTAAATGCTTCTTCTGTCCACTGCAGCAGCAGCAGCAGCTGTGATACTATGAGCAGGGCCAACAGAAAAAAGTCCTCCTGCCATGGTCCAATCCTGTTTCATTTGTAGATATAACAAAACTGTGCCCCAAAATGGATGTCAAGGATTGGGTGCTGTTGCTACAGGCAGACAAGTCACAGGAGATCAAGATTCTTGCCAGTCGTTTTGCAAGCCACCTGTCAGAATCGACACGTGAGGAGATGGCAGGGTCCATCCCAGTCGCACTTCCATGAAATTCTATTAAGACAAGTTAAACTGTGAGATTAGATACAAAAGTCATGTCAAACACTAAAGGAGATGGTGGTGAGTTCTGAGGATAGGGAAAGATAAGCATTACCATAGTTACAAGGTCAAACTAGCAATCCATTTGGTGTGGGACTATGTAACCAGCCACACACATTTGGAAGATGGGCAAAATACCACAGACCTAATGCTTCAATACACACACATGTCCAGAAGCCACCCATCATAGTGACTACAGCAACCCTGAACCCTCAGTTCAGCACCCAGGGTGCCAAAAGGGCAGCCTTGAACAGGAGAGCCTCAGAACACATGTTCAGGCTGCTGAAGCACAGCCAGCCTGCAACTGGATCAGTCAGGCAAGATAGCCTCAACCATCCTCTTTTGCACCTTAGCGTGCAAGGAATCTACTGATGTAGTGCAGGACCAAAGACATGGCAGGAAGGTCAGCACTTCTCCTCTCCACAACTGTGGCCAGCTCCAGCTCAGAGCTAGTGGCCCCAACTGCCTTGAGTACAACAGCCAAGACAAAAGATTAAGTGGTAGCAACGGAAAAGGCTTTCCTAGCTACCAAGGAGGGGAGGTGTTGCAAGGAAAATCAAATGTGGTCATGTCAAGTTGACCGAACTCCCACAAGGCTTTCTGAGATGATTCAGAATTCAATGATTGTTGCCTAAAGCTAACCCCAGTAAAATGCCAGGGAACATCTAGAACAACAGAATAAGAGAACCATAAATTAAGATGATAACATGATAACCATTGGGACTAATTAACGTGGGAAAAGAAAAATATCAGGAAAATATTCCAAATGTGGAAGGATGTCCTATTGTAAATTTAGGATCTAGAAGCCAAAATACCATATAACAAGCTCGGCTAGCCTTAGTAATGATGACACCACTAAAGGGTTAAATAGCCTAAGCAAGTGAAATCACAGTTTGCTGTCTGCTGTTTGAATTGCCTGCATGGATTTCTAAAGGAAGACCAAGCCTTGGAGGAGCACAACCCAGGAAGCTCACCCAGTGCAGCTGACTGAGGGGAATACCTCCTGAGTAACAGCTCTAGAGAGACTGTGGTGCGGTGAAGAATCACGTTAACACACTTAGTTTTTGGTAACTGCCTGCTTATATTCTGGCAACACCAGTTAAGTTGACTACTTGTATACTGGCAACCCCAGTTGATTAACTGCTTTGTGTTTAATGGATAATTTTGTAGTCAATAAAGCTTCTGACTGATTATCAGACAAGCGTCTTATAGTTCTCCTTGCCCACAGAAAAGCAGGGCTTGTGTTTCAGCCCAACAGGCTCGACTGTGACCCACCCGCCCACGTGCTCCAAATGCAGAGACACCTCTGCTGGGCTGCTCTCCTGCTTCCCGAGAGCAGCTCCTGTGGATGAGCCCAGAGCAGCTTTGTTGGAACACCTCTGAGCTGGCAGCGCCTCAGTGCCACAACACGCTGCCACCGGGGACAAGCAACACCACAGCAGGGTGGAAAAGGCTCATACTGAACTGCTTGGCCTGGCGCTGGGAAACCCTGCTGGTGTTTCTTTAATGTAACAGGCAGAGTCCATCAGACATCACTGCAGACTGTGGGGCTGGAGGGGATCACAGAAATTGCAGAGAAGCAGGGTGGGCAGGGACCTGCAGAGCTCGAGTCCAACCCCTGCCAGGGGTACCACACAGCAGGGCTGCGTGAAGCTTCAGTCCCTGATCCGATTCAGTGGAAATTCAGCCCAATTCAGCGGCTGAATCTCCAAATCTGAATCAAATCAGAGGACTCCCTGAATGTCTCCGAATTGAACTGGAACCCTCCGAATCAATTCGGAGAGATTTGGAAAGATTTGGACATAGACACAGCTTTAAATGTTTTTTTCTATATACCTCTAGGTAGCAGGGGCTCATGAATGCTGTGATGCTGGGGCACATGGTGCTCCCCAGCATACTTGGCGATTACAAGCAGCATCTGCTACCTCAAGCTATGTAGAGAAAACTTTTAAAGCCGTGCCTGTGTCCGAATCCCTGGTTCTCTGAATCAGCATCATATTTTCAGATTCGGATTCAGCTGAATCGAATCAGGACAGTGATCTGAATCAACGAATTGAATCACTGTCCGTGATTCGGGCTGAATCCAAATTGAATAGGACCCGCTTCGCACAGCCCTACCACACAAACTATTCCTTACACAGGCAACTGGGACTGTTCCTAAAACTACCATCCACCCCTAAGGCAACACAAGGCACCTGAACCTGCCACAGGGGAGCTGCTTTCATAAAAGGTTGTCAGAGCAGGCTCCAGAGACCCCAGGCAGAGCCCCTGCCCCCTGGACTAACATGACCTGGAGTCAAAACTCCTCTGTGCCCTTGATCATGGTTGGCAACCCCTCACCTGGACCTAGGGTCGCCAGCTCTCCGGGACTGCCCAGGAGACCCTAGGAATTAGATCTAAATCTCCAGGAAACTGCTGAGAGTCACCCAGGTAGAGATAAATGACACAGGGCAGTCATTACAATAAACATTAAATGCTGAATCCGATTGATAGACTAGTCCAGCGGGTTGTTAAAATGTAACGGTCCTGTGCGTTTGCCTTCCTGACGTAAAGTCATTAATGTCACCGTGTCATGTCAGGAAACCACGTGGAGTAGAGCTGGCAACCCTACCTGCAGCACGGCGCGTCCCCAGGGCTGCAGGTGACTGAAGAGTCCCACCCTGGAGCCACAGACACAGGCACCGCCCTGTCCCGCAGCCGCAGCCAAGGCCCAGGCCGGGGGAGAGGAGCAGGCGCCGCGAGGGAGCAGCGCGGAACTCACCCACCTGCCCGCGCCACCTCGCACATTCGGCGCGGCTCGCGCAACAGCTAATCACGGCTCGGCTTAGCTGCCATTGGCCAAGAGGAGCCGTGACCACGCCCCCCGAGCGGGAGAGGGTCGCGCCTGCTGTTCTCCACTAGCCGCCGCGCTAAGAGGGCTTGTTTCTTGAAGCATGCGCAGCAAGTCTCCGAGCCGGGCCAAGATGGGAGGAGAAACTTTGCGTTTGTGCATGCGTACGCTCGTTAGAGCCGCCGATTTTCCCGCTGCGCCCGCGCTCATTGGCGGACGGTTCGAATGCCGGATGTGACGGGGTCGAAGTGGCCGAAAGAAGCCGTTTGAAGCGCCTGGAGCTTGGGCCGTGGGGGTAGGTCGGTGGTGCGGGCGGGGACGGTGGTCTGAGGGGAGAGACCCTGGATGAAGGAGCCCATGGTCCTTTCCCTGGAGTTGTGTAAATGTGGTGGCTGCCCTCCCCTCGGAGCTGCAGCGCTCAGGCAGCCCCGGATCAGGTCGCCTCTGGTAATTACTTCCTCGGTGGTAAATCCTCGCTCCTTCCACCCAGGAACTAGTGATTTAAAAAAAAAAAAAAACTGGGTTAGGAAAAGCTTAAAGCATAGCGCGCGTTAGGAGAGGCTTGGGACCGAAAACCGAAGTCAGTCGAAGGCTGTGGC